GGCTCGCCCCCCCACGGCAGCCTGTCGGCAGTGGACGGGCCCTTGGCAGGCTTTCCAGGAAGTCTCTCAAGAGGGCTCCTGACAGAGGCCGGAGGTTGAAGTCCTGTGACCTGTTGTCCTGAAAAGCTGTGTTGGTAACCTTTGCTGAAATCCTCCTAGATTTCACATCAGAACCTGGGTTTCTTCTTTTCATGTCCTTCGTGACTCATCTTCGTCCTGTGACGGTCAATCGAAATTGCATAAATAGCCAAGGAGCTTCTGTGCCGGATCTGGTTAGTAAGGTCATGCTGCTTCAGGGAGCAGAACAAGACCGGCTTTCCCGAGGGCGTATGCAGCGTCAGACGTTTTGCTGGCGGGGCCTCAGTGGCTGCGTTCTCAGGCGCCCGACCCTCGGCACACCTGGGAGTCTCGTCCCTTTACACGCTCAAGTGTAACTTGTGGCCGGTTCTGTGTGTGCAGTGGGCTCGGGGAGTTCGTCGGCTGTCCGTGTGTACGGGCCGCGTGCTAGTTGCTGTGGCGGAAATAGCATGCGTAGATGCAGCGGTGTGCCCTGGAGATGGGCCCCGAAACTGGGTGGGAGAGTCGCTGGACTCTCACGTGGTCGACCGCGGTTCATGTCGCGGTCCCGGTGGTTTAAAACTCACGCCGGGCGTGTGTGCGTGTGTGCCCAAGATCCCGAGAGGAGAATGGAGGAGAAGGGATTATGGCGTGACCATCCCCCCGCCCCGGGGGTGCTTTCTCGCTTTCTGTCTCTATGTCTCTGTCTGTCTGGCGAGCGCATGCGCCCTATAGCAGAAACCTCTCCAAAAAAAAAAATTATTATTTTTTTTGAAGAGATTTTTGCTGTAGGGCGTGTATACTTGTCAGAGAAACAGAAAGTGAGAAATCACCTCCCCAGGGGGGATGGACGTGCCACAATCCCTTCTCCTCCATTCTCCTCTCGGGATCTTGGGTGCACACACACACATGCCCTGCGTGAGTTTAAACCATCAGGACCGGGACTTGAACCATGGTTGGCTACATGGGAGTCCAGCGATGTAGGCATTACACCATCTGCTGGTTCCTCTTTTCTTTTTTATAAACGTTTGCCAGGAGGTGTATACCCTTGCTGGGGGCCGGGCATGGGGCTGGAGAGAAAGTGAGAAATCACCCACCACGGGAAACGGTCACTCTGTAATCCCTTCTTCTCCCTCTCCTCCATTTGGGATTTGGGGCATGTACACACAGGCACCTGGCGTGCTTTTCACGCCACTGGGTCTGGGATTTAAATGCACAGTGTATGCTGTGGGATTGACCCGTCTTAACCACCATGCCACTGGCCAGCCCTTGTGGTGTATTTATTTGCTTATGTTGCACACATCTGTAGAGTTGTGTGCTGCTGTAGACACTGAGCACACATCTGTCAACAGACACGGGAAGATCCCTGCCACCACCCAGCATTCTCACATAGGACAGCAGATGTGGCAGACGCTACTAGGTCTGAGCAGGCCCCGGATCAGGACCGGGTGCCGAGCCTGTGCAGTGGCTGCTTCACTGGCTCCTCCCAGCCTTTGAATGGCTGTGACAACGTGAGGGACCATGGGCCATTGGGCTTCTGCTGAGAGGCATCAGTTTTCCAAAAGGTGAATAGAATTATTTTATTTAACTTTATTATTTTAAAAATATTTTCAGCGATACACACAGGCACACACAGACACACACACACACACACACACACACAAAAGAGAAAGTGAGAAAGCAAGCCTCCAGGTCCGGGACTCAAACCACGGTTGGCCATGTGGGTACCCAGTGACCTTGACCACCACCCCGCCTGCTGGCCCTAATGTGTATTAATTTTATAGCTTTCAAGTTTTCATACAAAACAGCAGAACAAATACAGGCGAAGTAAAACTTTAAATTCTCTAAGTTATAAATACCTGTTTTAAAAAATTGCGTGATGGTATATTCATTCAATGAGAGTTATTTTGGTAATTAAGATAGTAAATCCTTATGAATAATATATGTAATAAAGGGGAGGGAGAGCAACTCATGGCCATTTCCCCAGTGAAGAAAGCAGAAGGCTAAGTCCTATAAGTGGTATAAGGGGACTTCAGAAAGTTCATGGAAAGTGGAATTAAAGTA